AGAGAGAGAGAGAAAGAGAGAGAGAGAGAGAGAGAGAGAGAGAGAGAGAGAGAGAGAGAGAGAGGGAGAGAGAGAGAGAGAGATTGGGCACAAGCAGGTCTTGAAGGCACAAGTTCTTACTCATAAACTAAAGCTTGCCGGTTGTTAAACACAATCTTACCTTATATCTAAGTTTATATCTTAAATAAACCACAACACATTACTTATTTCTATTCTGCCAAAAACAAGATGTGGTTATAAAAAATAACCTCAAAAGGACATGGACATTTAAACATTTTCTAAAGAGGCTGAACTAGATATGTTTAAAAGGAAAGTACACAAAACAGGATGGGAAATTTGTTTAACATTCAAACTTTAACCTTTAAAAATGAATAGGGACTACCTGTCTTTACACATAACTGTGTAAGTTCATTGAACACGTTAATCATTAATAATACTAAAAAGTAGTAAAAAGAGGGCTTACGCTTTGGACAGAGACATTTTCTTTGCCTATCTTCTGCCAGGACCTCAGCATTTGTGTGGTCAAACTGGTAAAGTTGAGTCATGACATCATAAAGAGTCTCTCTGAGGTACAAAAATTTAAAGAGAAACACACCATATTTTACACTGTATACACATATCTAAATATTTTAAAAGTATTAATGTGTCCCCATATTTTTTAAATCCATTAAGTGAGAGTCTCAGTCAGTTCTTCATTAGTTGATTTACTTGCTTGTTAAATAAATAGCTAATTATTTTATGGGAAGTTGATCAGCTCTAATTTGGAGTGGACTTCTGTGACTATACATGTGCATTTATGTGTATTAAAAATGGAAAGAAAATAGAATATAAAATTTCTCTTAAATAGAACAGCTATAATCAACTACAATTATTTCAAATTCAATTAGTGCTCTTTGAAAATGTTTTATATGATTAAAATGGTATTTTTCCAAAAGGGGGAATTTTACTTATTTTTGTACATTTTCAATTCTAAAAGGTAAAATGTCTATTAAATTAATAGTAATCATAGACCTTTGCAATTTGAAAGAAAATGTTGCATTTTACAAAGTTGTACAAAATTATCAGCTACTACTTGGTGGGGCAGTTATAAATATTATTTTTCCCATCGTAGAAACAAAACCTCTTAGGGTAATTTAATGATATGTACAGAAAAAACTGTATTTTCTTATATTACCATCTTATTTCTTATAAGTGTATATTTTTATGAACTTCATATGTGTACCAACATAAAATTAATGTAATAACACACAAATTGAATTAACATGTAAATTTGTAATGTTTCTAGAAATTAGTAAATTATCATTTCTTTCATTTCTTTTTTAGTTAATTTCCCAAAACTCCCTTTGTCAACATCCTAAAACCCAAGAAGGAAATTTTTATTTATAGGGAAATTGGCTCAAAATCCCTATTGTCTTTGAAAACCCTGAAATTATTTATAATATTATAATGAAGAATTTTAAACAGAAGTAGAGAAAGTTTCTAATGTATTTGATGTAATCCAACCCATCTTTCTAATACTTCCTGCCTACTGTTCATTCAGAAGTGAATCTTTTGTTGGATATACTTTATTATGTGTTAAAGTGCTGCAATTATTTTTAAATGAAGAATTTTCATCATTTTTGTTTTATTTTAAACATCTTATTGACATATATATGTCATATATATATATATATATATACATTGGTGGTATACATTATATCTTTATATCTATGTATAGTTTGTAATAAAATCAGAGTAATTCACATTTCCATTCCTCAAGCATTTATTGCTATCATGTGCTAGTAATACTGAAGCTCTTCTCTTCTAGAAATTTTGAAGCATATAGTAAACTTTTACAGACTATTTCTGCTACCAGAAAATATTATAATAGAACTAATTCCTCTTATCTATAGCATTTTTATAGTCATTCTCTGATGTGGGAGTCCCCTCTGTGTGCTGTGATTTCCATTAATGAACAAAGAAACTACTTTGGACTTATAGCAAGGTTAGGTAGGTAGGGAAAGGTAGGCTGAATGCAAGGAAAAAGAAGGGAGGAGTGAAGGAGAAGCCATGGAGCTGCCACCAGAGTCAGCAATGCTGAAAATTTGCCAGTAAGCCACTGCCACATGGCAATACACAGATTAATGGACATGGGTTAAATTAATATATGAGTTACCTAATAAGAAGATAGAGCTAATGGGCCAAGTAGTGATTTAATTAATACAGTTCCTGTGTGATTATTTCAGTTTAAGCTAGCTGGGCAGCCAGGAACCAACAAGCAGCTCACTACTTCTAACAGTTCTCTAACTCCAACCTATATTGCTAAGTAATAGCCTCTAATAACCATGATTCTACCCATTATTTCTAAAAAGTAATTACTTTTGCTTATATTAATGAGTCATTAAAGAAACAATCTCCCTCTCTCCCCTCCCCTCCTTCCATTCAATCTTCCTTACCCCCCATCCACTCCTTAGAGAGGGTAAGGCACATTGCTTTCAGGAAGGTCCAAGGACCTCCCTACTATGTCTAGTCTGAGCAAGGTCTCCATCCAAAGAGAATGAGTTCCAAAAAGCCAGTACAAGCAGTAGGGATAAATCGTGGTGCCACTCTCAGTGGCCTTGCAGTCTGCCCCAGCCATACAACTGCCACCCACATTAAGAGTGCC